GGATCCTCTGGAACTGTAGTTACAGACAACTGTTAGCTGTCATGGACAGTTGTTGGCTGCCATATGGGTGCTAGGATTCGAACCCAGGTCTTCTGTAAGAACAATCAGTGTTCTTAACTACTGAGCCATCTCTCCAGCCCCTAAAGAACTATTCTTAATGATTTCAACATCAGAATAGGCTGGCTGTGAACATTACCTGAGTTCTTGAAGACAACTGAAGGCTAGATATCTTTCTAGCCTTTAACTTTTTTTTTTCTTTTTTTTTTTGGTCTTTTTGAGACAGGGTCACTCTGTAGCCCAGCTGTCCTGGAACTCACTATGTAGGCTGGTCTTGAACTCACAAAGATCCACCTGCCTCTGCCTCCTGAGTGCTGGGATCAAAGGCGTGCACCACCACACCCGGCTTAACCTTTTTTTAAAAATATTTTATTATTTTTATTTTGTGTGTATAAGTGCATTGCCTGCATGTAGGTAAGTACACCTGTGTCGTGCAATGCCTGCGAGGACAGAAGAGGCTGTCGGATCCTCTGGAACTAGAGTCACGGACAGCTGCCAGCTGCCATGTGGGTGCTGGGATTTGAACCTGGGTCTTCTGTAAGAACAACCAGTGTTCTAAACCGCTGAGCCATCTCTCCAGCTCTCTAACCTTTAACTTGCTTAAACACTAAGCATAAGTGGGTGACAGGCCTGTAATCCTGGCACTTGATAATTGGAGGCAGGAAGATCAGAGTTAAGGACATCTTCAACTACAAAGCAAGTTGAAGGCCAGCCTAGACTACACGAGATCTTGTCTCAAAAAACCCCCAAAACAAAACTAAAGTTAAGACACACAACCTTTGCATTCCTACATAGAACTTCCGTTTCTCTAAAAAAAAAAACAGAGGGTAGGGCCCAAACTTAACCGCAGAGGAGAAACTGCTACATGTTTTTGACAGAATAATTTAAAGATTTTATTCCTCCCCTCTAGGCTTGCATATACATGATTTCTTTTTCTTTCTTTCTTTTTTAGACAGGGTCTCCCTGTAGCCCCAGCTGGCTTGGAACTCTCTATGTAGACCAGGCTGGCCTTGCTCTCACAGAGATCCCCCTGCCTCTACCTCCCAAGTGCTGGGATTAAAGACGTTCCTCACCATGCCTGGCTATATATACATGATTTCTTAACACAAGACAAACTTTATGAGAGCAAACGGTGAGAAATCAAAGAGAAGATAAAAAGCATACCAAGAGTTTCTGAAAAGGTTAAACAAACCTTGAACAAAAATGTCACCATATGAGCCAATAATTGGTAGGCATGTTTTAAAAAACTTGAAAGCATGTCCACACACAAAGTTGTATAGAGATGTTCCTCCTGGCAGTATTACTAATTGTCAAAAGGTGGCGAGAGCTGGAGAAACAGCTCAGTGGTTAAGAACAACAATTACACTTCCGGAGGACCCAAGTTTGGTGCGCAGTACACACATCAGAAGGCTCACAACCACCTGCAATTCAGTTCCATGAGAGCTAACACTTTCTTTTGGCCTTCGCAGGCACCCTCATTCATGGCATACACTCACACAGACACACACAAACACAGACACACAGACACACACACACACACACACACACACACACATACTCCCCCCCATCGAACAGATAAATACATACAAAGAGAAAATAGCTGGGGCTTGAGAGATGGCTCAGCAGTTGAAAGCACTTGCTACTCTTGCAGAAGACCCAGGTTCCGTTCCCAGCACCCACATGGCAGCTCACAACTGTTCATAATTCCAGCTTCAGTGGATCTGACACGCTCTTCTGGTCTCCAAAAACACCAGGCCTGTATGTGATGCACATCCATACATGCAGGCAAAACACTCATACACATAAAATAAAAATAAATATTTTTAAAAAGAAAGAAAATCGTTTTGGTTGCTAGGGATACTCAAAGTAACTAAGGAGTATAGAATATTCCTGGGGACTAATGAAAATATTCTGGAATTAGCCAGGCATGATGGCTAAACAATTTGGTAAGTACACTAAAAACTGCAGACTTATATACCTTAAAATGAATTTTATGGTATATGAATTATATATCAATTAAAAAGAAAAAAAAAGAATCTGGAACCTGGGGTATAATTCAGTGGTAAAGTGCTTGTCTAGCATGCACAAGGCCTTAGGTTCCATCCTACTCACCCAAAAAAAGTCACGAGGAAATATAAGCAAGCAAAAATACACACAAAGAGCAGCAGCAACCCCCCCATCCTTCCCCACGCAACATCTTTGACTCAAAAGTCCTATGCAGTTAATGTGAAAATGACTGGAACTCTAAAAATATCCTAACTACCAAACAAAGGCACCTGCTTATTTTGATAATATTTTTATAACATAGAATGTCCTTAAAAAGAAATGATAGGGGCCTTATTCTACAAATCCAAACATGCATAATCAGCTAGAACTAGCTGTTGTAACTGGCACTGGAACAAAACACATTCCAGCTGACAAAGGAGAGCTATTAGAAGACAATGTCATCAGAAATCTTAACTGTGAAAAACTTTTAGTGCTTTCTGTGTCAAGCATGAGACAACAGCCTTCAAAAACAAAACAAAACAAAAACCATACTAAACTGTACTAACTATAAGAAAGTATGTTCTGTATTTAAATTGTTGGATACAAAACTTAATTGGCGAGCCGGGCGTGACAGCCCATGCCTTTAGTCCCAGCACTCAGGAGGCAGAGGCATGCAGATCTCTGTTGAGTTCAAGGTCAGCCTGGTCTACACAGTGAGCTCCAGGCCAGCTGAGGCTATAGGGAGACCCTGTCTCAAAAAGACCAAAAACTTAATTGCCTGGGGATGTAGCTCAGTAGCTACAGGCCCTGGGTTTGGTAAATAAATATGAAAGAATGTACATTTAGATTGTTCTTTCCCTACTGCTGTGGATCCTGTTAGGTAAGTATTCTACCACTGAGCCACATACCCCTGCATTTAGAAACTGAACCTAGGATGGGAATCACACTAATTTTTTAAAATGCATTCAATAGCACATAAGAAATTAATAAGCATACACCCAGGTATTAACCTCATTCTTTTACTGCCAACCCTAGTGTTTCTTAATTGAGGAGGCAGTTAAACAGCAGACATGTTCATGTATAAGATATTTTAACTTGCTAAAACATTAGTCATGTATTAAGAGGCACTTTAGCCAAGAGTAGTGGTACACTCCTGTTATGCCAGTACTCCAGAGGCTGAGGCAGGAGGATTTCTAGTTTGATGCCAACCTGGGCAACATAATGAGTTCCAAGAAAGCCTGAGCTACATAGTGCAGTAGTGAGACCTTGTATTAAAAAAAAAAAAAGCTGGAGCTGGGCGTGGTGGCACATGCCTCTGATCTATGAGTTCAAGACCAGCCTGGTCTACATAGCAAGTTCCAAGACAGCTGGGGCTACAAGGAGACTCTGTCTCAAAAAGCACCCCCCCAAAAAAAAAGTTGGAGTAGGGGAATAGGAGGTAGATAAGATTTGAATACATCCATGAAATTCTCAAAGGATAAATTACAAATATTTTTATATAAAAGAGTGCAGGACAAGGTGGCCCATGCCTTTAATCTCAGCAGCAGGCAGATGTCTGTATGAGTTCAAGGTCAGCCTGGTCTATACAGTAAATTCCAGACCAGCCAAGGCTACAATAGTGAGATTATTCTGTGAGTAACACAGAAGTTACTTTAATCTCATTAAAAAAAAAAAAACAAAAAAAAAACGAATGTTGCCAGGCCTTGAGTCCCAGCACTCAGGAGGCAAAGGTAGGGGAATGTCTGCAAGTTCAAGACCATCCTGGTCTATCTATGGGGTTCCAGACAAGCAAGGGCTACATAGCCTATCTCAAACCAACCAACCAACTAACCAATGTCCTAGATTTTGAACGTTTATTTCAAAATAGCAGAAGGAATAATGTAGATATTTTCAAAAGAAACACAGATGTGTACACTGGAAGGTCTTGAAAACTAGTCACCAAATCCAAATTAATCATAAGTCATATCTAGATTCTGCTCCCAGTTTTGTTGATAAAATAGATGTCTGGCCTACACCAGCTCTACAGAGATTTTTAAATATTTGTTGAGAATTCTTAGTGATGACAATATTCAAAGACACTGTAACCAGAGCACTATTTTACTATTCCCAGGTTCTATGCACCACGGGAGTTACTAGTGTGACCCTATGTAGTCATAATAAATTAGACCTAGAGAAATTCTAATGGAACTCCACTGAGGATTATTTATCCTAACTCACATTAGCAGGGAGTTACATCTTTTTCTGTGTGGGTTCCAGGCTGTGGAGGAGCCATGTGGCTTGCCGGTATCTTTGATAACCCTTTCCCTATGGAACAGATAACCGCACCACTTTATATTTAGCCTTTCAGTACTACTCCCTTCAAATCTGTTTTTCCATTTTCCTTCACCTTTGTATAACCTCCCTGAAACGTCTTGATTTCCTTTTTCTCCCTGTCTAATCTCCTTCACCTTAAATTCTAATCCATCTAGAGATAACTCTAAATGATTTTAAAAGGTATTCGCGATTATAGGAGCTATTCAAACATTAACCCCATTCATTTTGCATTAAGGCTACCGTTCTCAACCTCTACATATCTCCTCTCGGTATCTATTTCATCTCTACTTTTACTCTCCCCAGATCACAGCCCTCAGGCTCTCTAAAATGAGTATGTAGCGCAGGCTTTCCCTCACCATCCCCTCCTCCCGCGACTCTCTTCAGTCACCAACTCCCTGTGATCCCCTGGGATTTCACTGGGGCGGCTCTCTGTGCACAACCCCGGACGCCACCCCTACTCCCATCAGTGTCCCACATCCCCAAACTCTTCCTCAGTCGTCCAAACATGTCTTCGCCTTAAGATCTGCCGTGCCCGGCCTCCATCACGTCCTCCTGCAGAGCCTCTGCCCGCCTGACCTCCCGGCCCCCGCAGCGCGCCCACCTCCCAGCCCGGAGCCCTCTCAGGCCCGCAGCGGCCCTCCGACCTGCCTCTGCGCCTCCCGCAGCCCCTGCAGCCGCTGGCCCAGCTCCCGCCGGTAGCTCTGCGCCGCCTCCACGTTCTCCCGGGCCTCCTGCAGCAGCAGATCCGGCTCCTGCTCCAGCTCCATCGCACCCCTCATCCGACCGCCGGGACCGCGAATGAGCCGCGGGCTCCCCTCTGTGCCCGGGCGCCCTCGAGTGGCCCCGCGCTGTTCCAGCCGCAACGGAAGCACCGCCCCGCCCTGCCCTGCCCGTCCCGTCCCGCCCCGCCCCCGCGACAGCTTGATTGACAGCCGAGCGGCCGGGCTACGCGAGAATGGCGTCCGGGACTGGCGGGGGAAAAATAGACCTTACCTTTGCATAGATTCAACGAAAGCATTGGTTCTTTGAAAAAGTAAACAGTATCAAACCTTAGCCAACTGCAAACCAGATGGAGAGAGGGAGGGAGGGAAGGAGAAGAGGGAAGAAGAGAGGAGGGGGGGGAGAGGGGGAGAGGGAGGGGGGAGGGGCGGTCAGGGTTCCGGCGGCGCCCGCCCTTTGGCTCTGCGGGCTTCTGGCCGGTGCAGGCCCCGAAGCTTCCTCAGGAAACGAGTGGAGCTTTCATACGAACACGTGAACACGTCGCTGAAGGCTTCTCACATCTTATCTCGCAGCCGCTCTAATCTGCATTGCACAGGGGAGGAAGTCGAGGAACACCAAGGGCTCCACGCTCGCCAGCTGGGGCCTCGGCTGTGTTGCACCCCAAGTCGTGGCTGCGGGGTCTCGCTTGCCAATGCCGGCCTCGGCAGGCATGGTGGGGGTTACTGTGACCCAGACGCCACTATCCAGAAGCTTGTAATCTAAGCGGGGCCGTAAGAGAGGCCCCAGTGATGACTAGTGCTACAGCGATCCTGGCAGCCATCCACGGCGGGTGTTGCACACTCTTGTACAGGCCAGCGAGAAATATTCTCAGGGTGGCAGGTGATAAGGTCCATGTTTAAGGGACGATGGATTATGTGAAAGAGTGACAGTGTGCGCTGAAGTTCAGCCTGGGGGGTGGCGTGTACCTTCTTTCCAGCTACTCCAGAGGGTCGCTTGAGGCCGACTGGACAACAGGGCTGTAAAAAGAAACCTTTACACACTGAAATCTGAATATGGCATAATTTTCACATGTCACATGGTCTTTATAATTTTTTCCAAAACTGTTTAAAAAGATGAAAGTGGCTACGTTGAAAAGCCAGACAAAAACAGGCTACAGGTTGGATTTCGCCCCTAAGCCCTAAGATCTCTGACCCATAGCCCAGGGTGTCAGAGGTGCAAGTTGCCTAAACTAGGCCCAGACACTGAACAAGGTTTTCTCAGGATTATGCAATGAATCCTTACCAGATCCCAGCTGTTCTGGGCCAGACTTCTGCTCTTTCTTCTACATTTTGTGCTTGAAAAAAAAAAAAAAAGAAGCCGGGTGTGGTGACGCATGCCTTTAATCCCAGCAGTTGGGAGGCAGAGGCAGGCAGATCTCTGTGAGTTCAAGGCTGGCCTGGTCTACATAGGGAGTTCCAGGACAGCTGGGCTACAGGGAGACCC